CCTATGTTCATTAGTGGACAGCTAAGACTCATCCAAATTGATTCAAAATCAGTGAAAATATAGCATAATGTGCTCATATTATAAAATTAAGAGTGAACTAAGAACCCTTCTGCTTTCAATTAAAAATGGTCGGAAACGTTTTGCTTTTGAAAAGTGAAATTCTAACGAAGCATCCCGGTCATAATCAATGTAAACATTACACATGAGTGCCCACATAAGAAGTTTAACCAACTAAAACACCCATCCACTCTTGCTAAATTAATTCACACGTAATCCCATAATACCCAAAAAGGGTTAATATGTACAAAGGTAAACATTCCATCATAAATTATAATATTATCCATCTTGATGGCAAATGTTAAGTTTCTGGTTTAAGTACATATTAATGTATGCATATATATATATATATATATATATATATATATATATATATATATATATATATATATATATCTACTAGCTGACCCTGCAAACGTTGTTTTGCCGTATACATTATTTCTAGAAAATAGTTTTTTTAGTTCAATCAAAAATAGCTAACATTATAAGTATGTTAGGATTTAATTATGATTGAAAGAGGAATGAAGCATTGCAGGCAATTAAAGTATACTTATTTTAGTTAATAAATTATTCAAAATAACAAATACATATTAAATTACAATTCGTGATAGCTATCTATACATCGATAATATTTTTTTATATATTTCTACTAATAATTATGGCAATTAAAAAATAAACAAAGATTAATCTCTCAGCGCAATGGCAATATATATATATATATATATATATATATATATATACACTTATACTTAAATATATAGAATAGTATTAGTAGTTGGTATATTCATTTATTTTAACATTTATTATATAAATAGGTATGTATTATATTTATTTATAGTATATGTATTTATATATTATTCTAATATATATTAATATTTCATTCAACTGTTTATTTGTTTATATTTTGATTAGTGTTAATAGTTGTTCGTGCACTTTAGCTGCCCGCTAACGACACGCTTTCCAACTGTATTGGGTTGATTGGAAGAGATCTCTGTCAGAGATAAGTCCACCCTTGCTCACAATATTTATAAATGCATTAACAATGTAATTTACAAGTGCAATAATGAATATATAATAATAAAATTAGGATCTTTCTCTTTTCATTTAAGAGTTTCCTTTTGTTGGTGCAACTAATTCATGCATCCTCTTCCAGCCAGCTCTATCCCAGGCCATATCCTTGACCTCACTTAATATTGCAGCACATTACATTACCAGATATAAATATTCATACAAAGGCTATGAATGATCCTTAGATTATATAAATGGAGCATCAAGCATAAAAATAAAAAAGACCTATATTCTTACAACATGTAATAGCAATAAATGATTGAAATTAATTAAATTGAATTTAAAAAACAGAACAACTTTTAATCAGTCAAACGTCAAATTGTCTAATACATCGTTTATTAAAACAAACAAATTGCACTTAATTTTTTTAGTGTTGCAAGTAATTAAATTAAAAGTTTCCCAGATCAGGACGATTTTTTAATTAAAATTGGGTACTATTTTTCTGATATATTCATAAATATATAAATGCAAAAATGAAGGATAAGCAACCTGAAGTGGCAATGGGCTGGTCACATAACTCGAAGTACCGACAACAAGTGAGGAACAAAGAAGAGCGACGACCCCGTACGGGCAACTGCAGTGTAGGGCGACTCCTCATTATATGAAGAGAGTCAGAGGATACAAGTGACTCGAGACCATTTTATGGCGGTCTATGGGGGAAGCCTATGTTCAGCAGTGGACGAATAATGGCTGAGATAATGATGATAATATAAATGCACGTATTGCTTACAAATTAATATACATGTATTAATGAAAAAAACCTAAATAAAGGCTATTTCGCTTTCAACCTGTATTGAAAAATAAACGTTAACCTGATTAACAAAAAGACACAATTTTGAATGGAATATTTTTTAAACAACCCTAATGACATTCTTAAGCACAACAAAATAATACCTCGTTTTACTCTTTACTCCTTTAAATTAAAGTTTTTTTTTTAAGAATCACAAGAAAATAGTCCCCGGGGAATTCGGTTTGAAGTTACAACAATTAAGTGCCCTTTTTGTTCTTTTATCGCCACTAATTAATATTAATTAAGAACAGAAACTTTGAAAACAGCGATCCTTTCTCCTAGTAACTATGTGGTACGAATATATTTATTAGAGAAACCTAAATTTATATTTTTTTTATGCACCTTAGAGTAACAAACAAGCTGACGTTCCAACTGATGGAAAATGGTAACGGTCACCTATAGACATAAACAGTACCATGAACATAACAGAGTATACTGTTTTGCCCATGATACCCCTATGCGTTGCCATTCCTGAGGACTTAGGTGTTATTCCATTTTACCCTGTAAACTCACTGCCATATGCTATCCTTCATAACTAAACACAGCCATGCAAACACAACTGCTTCATGGTAGAAACACGAATGGGACAGAGGTGCCTAAACAAACGTTTTTGTGCAAAATCTCTCTCTGGTGTTTATTGAATTATACATTATACATTAAATTGAGCATGACTTGTTCCAAGATACGCAATTACGTTAAAAATATCGATACCAAACTGAGTGTGACTATGTCGATACCAAACTTAATGTGACTATATCGATACCAAACTGTACATATTGATTTTTTTTATGGGTCATAATGAAAAAGTAACCCCACCCGCGCTATTGGTATACACTGGCGGGGCACCAGTGAGGGATGATAGATGAGGATGAAGCAGGTCAGTTAGCCCATCGTGACGAATTCAACAAGAATTGTTTACGATGGTTTCCAAGAGGAACCACGTAGAGGTCAACCTGATAGAGCATATTACTAGCAATGGGGCTGTCTTACTCCATTGCTAACAATCTCTTTCCCCCCCCCCCCCCGTGTATATACTGACTGTATACCCACTCATTACAAAATTAAAATGTCATTTATATTTATACAATTGACTGAATTTTATATCAAATATTATACCTAGGTCTAGACATGCTAAACTCACAAACATACTAATAAATTCAAATATTTATTTTGTTCGGGAATCGAACCCGTGACAGTAAAGCAGAGTAATCAACGGCAATACCCATCAAGAATAGAATATAAACATTGGACACTACTGATCTGTCAAAATTTAAAAAAGAAAGACTCCTAATTTTATGTCATTTGTCAAACTTTTTTTTTACAGTACCTAATCTAGTCTATGACTATTTATTTTTACAAATAGCAATTGGTATATGATCCAAATATATTAAAGATCGCAATAATAGCAATTTATGTTTCTTTGGAAGAAATATTACATACATACATACATATCTGTCACGCCTGTCTCCCATTAGGGTAGGCAGAAACAATGAAACGCCAAATGCTTCGATTCAAACAAACCTCTTTCGCTTCGTCAACATTCATCAATATTTTCATACACGCTTGCCAGTTACGGGTACTTTTAATTTGGCCCTTCTTCAGCACGTCGCCTATTTGGTCGACGTACGTCCGTCTAAGGCGGCCCCTACCGACAACTCCATTCATTCTTGCTCGATAAATCTCTTTCGTAATTCTTCTTTCATCCATCCTCTCCAAATGGTCAAACCAACGCAACATTCCTCTTTCAATTTTTATCACTACATCGTCTTTCAGTCCACACGTCTCTTCACAAGTGTTACATTTCACAAGTAAAAAATTATGATAATTAAATTGTGTTCCATATACAAAAACTTTGTCTTTATTTGTCGCAAAACTCAACTAGTTTTGATTAAAAAACTAAATCTACTAAACCGATTTGATAAAATTTCTATAGGACCTATTTGTGAGTAGGTATATCCTTTCGGATAAAAAAGAAATTCCAAATCGGTTCACAACTAACAGAGATACGAGGTAATAAACAAAAAAAAACAAACGAATTAAGAAACTTTTTGAAATCGTTTGAAAATGATGCTAACGATTTGTATTTCATCCTATATTTAGTACATAATTAAGTATAGACGTGTGGCGGTTCTGGGAATTGGCCTCTTTCAACAAACTTTTCGTAGCTTGAAATGCAATTAACAAGTCTAAACACATTACCTATTTAAATGTTGGAAATACAGAGAAAATTATTTTAGCTGCGTTCAAACGGATATTCTCGGTTCGTGTGTATATTTCAACCGACTTCAAAAAAAGAGTGTGTTCCCAATTCGACTGTATTTTTTTTTTGTTTCACCTTATCATTCTTATCAACCGTCAACTTTTTCTTTCACGCAACTTAGAATGGCAAACAAGCTGACGGCCCACCTGATGGAAAGTAGTAAACGTCGCCTATATTTGTGGGGAAAGGGATTGTTAGTAATGGAGACTAAGAATCCCATTGCTAGCAATATACCCAACCAGGTCGACCTCCTCACGGTTCTCCCTGGAAACTATCATGGTTAATTCCTGATGAATTCATCGTGATAGGCTAACTGGCCTGTTTTCATTCTCATCTATCATCCTTCACTGGTACTCCGCCAGCGTATCCCGTTAGCGTAGGCAGGGTTACCATACCATTTTCACCCATCAAAAAACCATCGCCTATAGATGTGAGCAGTACCTACCATAACAACCATAAATAACAACTGTAATAATAATAATAACTGTCCATAGCCAAACATAAGCCTCCCCTCTGGAAGGTTTTGCCAGTAGTTGCCACGCTTGGCAGGCGAGTTGACAACCATAGTTAGGCTTTAGTGATGTTTTAAAAGAAACGCTGATTTTTATATTTATTACTTCATAACTCCGTCAGTTATTAATCATTTTTTTATTTGAATAGATACTTTGGAATTTGTCTCATAGATATTTTATCAAAATCGGTTCAGCAGTTTAGTTTTTAAATCAAAATAATAGATTTGGCCACGACTGAATTTCGTAGCGTTTTGTGAAACAGTCTTAAATTATAATTCACTATAATTTTTCTTAATTTATTCTCTCATTTTAGATAGTATGCGGCATATCAACCATGGTCATGGGTAGCGTGGCCTTTATAGAAGAACGGCAGAAGTTCAACATGGGGCTGGGTATTCCGGCCGGTGGTATCAGTGTGCTTGCTGCAGGTAACATCCACAAATCAATAATGGTACTCATTAGCTAAATAATAATAATAATATTTATTGAAACCAAAAAGACAAGTGACAATTATACATTTTATTCCCCAGACTTCGGCACTAGGATTCCCTGTGTCGTGAAGTCATGGGTCATCTTCTGAGGGACTACCATGAAATATTTTGCGAAAATACAGATCGAACGAAACATAAATTTCATGTTAAAATTACAAAATATACTTATATAAATATAATCATTTGGAGGTTTTATGGTAGGCTTGCTCGTGTTTGTGTCCATACCGAAATTGGTATGGACAAAACACGTAATTAAGTCCGAAAATTCGGAATTTCATTTTATAGTAGCCCGCCAGCTTACAAATCTTATTAGCTTATTTACAAATTTTAGCTATATAATCAATTTAGACATATACACTGTGACGGTTCGCCTATAGTACAATAGGTTTAATACCATAAGTACATAAAAGAAACAGGGGTTCCTATGGGTGACCGCTACGAAAACTGAGCTATTTAATATAAACAAACTTTAAAGTCAAGGTTCACAATAGCGTACAGAGAAGACGTTACCATGTATGAAATATTGACACAGAAAGGAAACTCCTTTGATGTGTTTCCAAAGTGTAGTGGATGTCACAAGAAAATTTAATAAATTAAACAAAAATATATTATATTTTATATATAACTAAATTATAGTTTACCTTTTATCATCAGATGTAAAAAAGGATGCATACAACACAGTTTAATAAGGTTTATGAGAGCCTTTAAAGTTTTATAAATTCGATAATCAATTTAATATAAAATACCAAAATACGTTAACATATAATTAAATTGAATTTAAAGAAAAGTTCAGTTCGAATAATAGGCTAAATCTGATTATTGAAATATCTACCCTTCAGTGACATAATCTATGACGTTATTAGAGAAAGAATAGAGAGAAAAAAAAAAAAAGGAGAGCCGGGAGATCGGCGGGCGCGCGGGAGTCGGTTTTAGGAATAAATAAAAAAAGAAAAAAAAAAAAAAAAGGAAAATGGCGCGGGAGTCGTGTTTTAGGGATTGCGCAATAAAATAAAAAAATAACTGGGATATAGATCTAGGAGGGACTGGATCGATGAAGGGGTTTGAGATCTTAGTGTATCACTATCGATTAAGTGTGTGAAATTAATCAATAGAAGACTGGAGAATCCGGTGAGCTTGTTCCATTTATTACTACGTAGTTAGATTTTTGACTGTGATCACAGGCAAAGTCTATACTTAATATTTTTCCCAACAACTATTAAAATACGTATTTAGTCGAGTCCATATACCTTTAGGTAATGCGTATATCGTTAAATGCAATCACATTTGAACAAAGTTTACATCAATATAATTTACGTACTTACGTTATTTTACTCATATACAAAATCCAATTATATGGTCGTTTGATAGAACTCTATCAATTTGATTCAATGTTCTAATTGTCCAGTTTTGGAAAATACTTATTGAATCAACTATTGAACTATTACAATACTAACTAGTTTCATATCTAGTTATTATAAAGTATTTATTTATTGAGGATAATGGACTAAAGTGACTATGGTCTGGTCTCATTGCTGGGGAAACAGCTATTGATGAGAGAGAGGGGTTATTGAGTGGCGACCCTGTAAATGCAAGTGCGGTGTGGGCTACCTCCATTGTTTGGAGTGACTGTTGTATGTGTATTGTGGGGCCGTTCCTTGTGTCAGTCAGTGGAAATTGCCTGTGTTCAGTCGTGGGTTGGTGATGGTTGAGACGATGATGATGATGAAATATTTGTATTTATTACACTATTACAGTGTTGGTTTGGAATATCTGTTCATACTTAACGCTTCATGGTGAAGTGTTTTTATACCATTACTCGGTCGACCAGATTAATGATTCTTAGTCTATATTTGATTATCCATGACTACATGTGGGGATTTGTTTTACACCAGATGTACAAAGAGACAGCTTAACTGTTGCAAGTGATATTATGTGAATGTAATACTTTTAATACATTATTAATTGTGTTACTAGATAAATTCATGTGACTGTGGGGTGTTTATGGTAAACAAGCCTGTATTGTTTAAATAGATATTTTGTCTTGATTTATTATAAACTTTAATATTGATTTTGTTGTAGTAAGCAAGCTGATAATAACAATTCTGTGTGTATTACTGATTACTAATAATATTTAATTATGCTGATATTATAGGTGTGGATTTATTTCCTAATGGTAATAAAAGTACTAAAAGATTCTCTGACTATAGTTACTCTTAACTAGGCATGAGGTTCAGTATAAAATTGGTACTGTATGACACTTGTGAAGCTATGTATTTTACTCATATTTAGAAAGGAAGTTGTCCTGGCGATAAGGTTTGTATGTGTGTTGTTTGTTCATGTTATATTGACTAGACAAGTTCAGACAGGGTTAATATTAGTGAATATTTACTGGATTTATATTTAATATACATGTTTTGAATATTTATAAATTTAATTATTGAGTTATATGTTTATGTCGGACTGTATCCAAGGAGATATTATCTTATTAATATCAAGTTAGGACAATTACTTTAAATATTAATAAAGTAAACACTAACACTGATTATTCACTTCTTTAATAAATTTACATTAGAGGTTAGGAATCAAATAGATAGCATATTGGGAAATCTTCACCACACATGTATTTGAGGAATGTTCTTGATTATTAGTACTGTATGTATATATTATTGCAAGTACAATTGCAATAAGAATGTTAAACTTCTAATCTTCTGTTCATTCTTGAATTTGAAAGTAAGCTTGGCTACTGATATGAATATAAAACTGCAGCATTACTGGATACTATTAATTATTTCTGGTGTAAACCATGATTATTTATGTCACTGATAATTTAGTTGTATATTACGGTTGATATATGATGATTTTATATTTAATTATATTAAACAAATACAAATAAACAAACTTGCTAGTATTTGTTACGTTGACAGTTGTGATAGATAATCAAAATTCAATTCAATACATCAATACGTCATTCAATACGTCATTAATGTGACAGATGTCAAACAAAAGGAGATTATACACGTTATGATTCTATATCTAAGTCTATAGAAAATTTATATAATTTTCTGTTATTTTATAATAACTGTAGGGGAAATATTGGGATTATTTATATGAGAAATTTCACTTAAATGATATGATAATTATTTAAAGACCTAATTTCTTAGGGATTTAATCATGATGATTTAAACACTAAAACACTTGTTTATCTGAGAAATCCTATTAGTAAATAGGTTTACTAAGACACTAAAAGGAAGTAGATATAGTATAACTATAGTACGGCTACAATAATTGTATGGGACTTACTGTCCTTTCTATACAAATATATATTTAATCTATGTCTTTTACATTATAATTATACAATATATTGCCTCTACTACTACAACATACACAAATAGGACTTATTGCCCTTCCTATATACCTATATATAATAATTGACCTGGCACTTTATGTGTAATTTATCAGTACTTATGACAACAACCAATTAGGACTTATAGTCCTTTCTATAAAGCTACATAATTATTTAATCTGATTATTTCACAATGTGATTAATCAAACCTCTACAAATATTACAAAAGATCTCTGTTACTCTCAACACAATAATAGCTTGTTGGACTTAGTGTCCTCAAACTTATAGAAAACCCAACTGGTTATTTCACGAGACGTTGTTAACTTGTGATTAATCAGTGTCTTTTAAAGGACTTATAGTTCCTTTAGATATATCTCTCTGAATAAATAATTGGTTAATTCACAATGTGGTTAATCAACAATAATATTATATATAATTGACTGGACTTATAGTTCATTCAATAGCACTCATTACTTTTAGTAGCTCTCGACCTATGGGTTGGACTACTCATTCTTAGGCTCCGGCCTAATCAACAGATTTAACTTGAACCTTGAGTATTCTTGGTATTAAGTAAATAATATTAAATTGACAATGCTATGTTATGATATAGCAATTATCAACATTATATGGCTTGGCCAATTCCAGGGTGTGGAAGGTATCCCCTATCACACAAATCTTCATCTCTATCGGACTGTCTTCACAGGTGATCTCTAATGTCACATTATAGGGCCGAAGGGTTATGTCCCAACAAAGTAAGTTCTGGTGTCTGGGTGATCTCGCTTCTTGGTCTGATCTCTTGTGGAGCCGAAGGGAAAACCCCATTGAGTAAGCTCGTAACAGGGTGACGCTGGGAAACAGTTTCGTACTGTTAGTGGGTGATCTCTATGTCGCCATATAGAACTGAAAGGGTCATCACCCATGAGTAAGCTCTCGTGTCGGAGTGATCCTGGGATTTCAGTTCCGATCCGTTTGCCTCTGGCAAACACTAATTTATACTGGAAGCATCGTGGGGCTGGTGGAGCCACTGTAATGTTGAAGTAAATGTACTTATGTTTGGTTTGGAACTGAGAATACTCATTCCCTTATTACCATCAGAGTGCATTAATAAATACCCTTCCCTACCTTTTAGGAGGAAGAGTTATAGATAGTTGGAAAGTCTTCCACTGGTCCGGGCGTGTGAGGGGCCCGACCGCTCCCCCATTTTTTTTTATTATTACAGTTATTCTGTAATTTACTATTAAATTAACATAACTTCCTAGTTACATGAATTATGAGTATAATTCATTAATTATTCTTAATCCTTAAAGATTTATCAATCATCTTCATTATTTAACTCCTATCATATACCAATTAAAGAACCTTTTGGTTATTACACACACAACGGGTCCTACATTACTAGACGATCACACATTTATTTATTTGGCGAGATGATCAAGTGTTCTACTATAAGATCTGTTCAATATTAAGTGTTTATTGTAAGGGTTTATATGATTCATAGGGTGTTTGGGGTGTATAAGGCAATATAGGTATGGGGTTATATTGAGGGTGTTAGGCCATTCTTTAGGGTAAGTTTTCATTAGATTTTCATAGATTT